ATTCTTCCGTCTCTAACGCGTTATAACACCAAGCGCCTGGGCTCCTGCAAGCGCCAAGCGTCAACATATGACTGAACATCGTCACATTGCGGTTAGGGGGAGGGGGGGGACCTATCATACATCTGAGCTGATACCTAACCATCTGTTAATTTCCCACACGACCCTTAAAATTAGAAATAAACAAAAATAAAAATTCATGAAAAAGAACTTTCTAGAGAAGAGAGTTAAGTGCTGTTCGACACATTCTCTCCCAGATTTAAGCTCTTACGAGCTAAAAATCCTCCACCCCCCCTCCCCATCGCTTTTCTAGTGGTCAGCCTCTTAAAATAGTATTTTTGTAGGGGGCCTAATAATTAAACTGTTGTTGCCCATGATTGAATTAGGCCCCTAACTGTCCATAACTGACTTCAAACTGGTGGTGAACGGGTCCCTTCAGTAGAAAGTTCTTTCTTTGAATAATAATTTTATTATAAAAATGTTTTACGGTCAGTTTTCGTTTCAGAAAATTGTAAACGTCAATAATGGAGAACGTGATTTCAAGTCTGCGTGAAACTGTTCACCTTTTTAACCTAAAGCAGTTTATTAATATTATTAGCTTCCAGCCTGATAATTATTCAACACAGCTGTTATTTTACAGACAAAAGGCTTTGTCTTGTTACGCCCAGTTCCAGATAATTGGCGCCGGCACAACAGGTGGTAATTTTTCTTGTTAAATTAAAAATTTCTGTCCACCCGTAAATATAACAATTTCCAGCAAAACGTATCTGAATTTGTGTCGTTTAAAAGAACACGTTTCCTGAGATCATATCCATGTATGTGTTGTGGATCAGTTTTAACTTAGCTCGACGATCTCACCGAGAAATTATGCAAAACACAAAAATCCATAAATTTGGTTCTAAAAGCTTCTATATCCTCTTGGCTTATCTATAGATATTGATCTTAAGCACCAGACGGACGCAAGACCGTTAAAAAAAAAACTATTTTAAGAGGCCGGCCATGAGAAAATTGACGGGGAGTGGGGTGGAGGAGTTTTAGCTCGCAGTTCGATTTTGATACTCATCCCCAGACTACACTCGGACCATTTGAAACCAAGATCGCCGCCAGTAATGAATAGTCTAATTTCTGGACTTCAAATCCTCTTTTCTCTAGTTCTAGCTGAAGTCCTCCCTCCAGTCTCACAGAAAAAACTACTCAAAACATTATCTTATAGACTCGAGGTATACAGAGGCTCTTTTGACATAGGCCTATACTGTAACTTGGTAGAATTGCAATTCTGGGTTAATATGAAAATGCGGCTTATCTAGTCCTTGATTTTTTTCTTTAGGCTTTTCTAAGTATGAATTTTTTTACGACATTTTCCCTTGCACGAACGTTTTGCTGGTTTTCCCTTCACCCCACCCCAATTACTTAATGTAAACTCTTACTACCCCCTGACCGGGAGAGGTCCCCTGATTCTCACAGGGCCCGAGAACTGTCTGAGAATCAAAAAAGAAACTCTTTAATTTTACACAAGTTTACCTTTATCTCCTCCTGAGATTTCGATCAAACTAGACAAACGAAAACGCTTATGACGACAGCGCACGCAAAACGAGGAAAGCCCTTCAATTTGTAGGAATTATAAATCCGAATTTGTCTTGACGTTTGTATTATTGGAACTACAAGCATGGACAAAAGTCTTGGGACACGTTTGAGTTTCTGGGGCGTTTTCCAATTCACACAGGTCCAACCCCTCCCCTCACCCCACAAACACTGTTGGACGCGTGTTTCCAGAATTTTTCCGAGTTTCAACCTTGTATAGGGTGGGGGAAGGGAGAACTGCAAGAAAATTTCGAAAAAGATGCACTGTTTTAAGAGGGAACCAAGAAAAATATTAATATTGCAGTACTGTCCCAAGGACTTTTGTCCAGGATTGTAGGTTCACACTGAGCCCTATTTTTCTCCGTGTAAGCAAGATGGAACGTAATCCTGTTTCCGGAATCCGGGAAATTTTTGCTTGTGGAATCCGGAATCCCACTAGCGATTGGAATCTGTAATCCAAGTTCCACTGTCAAGAAATCCGTAATCCAGTTCCTGAAGTCTGAAATCCACAGCATGGAATCCACATTTCAAGACTGTCTTGTATCTGACTCGTCCCCAGTCGTCTCTCTCTATCTCTGTCTAGTGGTGCGCGGGGTGTGATGGGAAAGACGAAAGCGAAGGAGAGAGACTTCCTTCTGTTTCCCTTCCCATCAACCCCTGCTCCCGCCGCGCGCGTTTCGCGAAGACGACTGGGGACAAGTCAGGTCTTGAATTACCTTACACGGGGCGACTTATTAATGGGTGGATTTGGTTTCACTTTGGATTCATATGGACCATCAGAAATAGACTTAATTTTCGCAACTTTGCTGAGCAATATCGTCGCTCGCTTAAGACGTATCGCTTTCAAATTTGGTAATTTTACTATTATAAAGGCCCTTTTTCCAGTGGTGTCGACGAATTTTCCGTAACTTGTCCATGTCAAAAGTTAAAAAAACCGTGAAAAGGTCTATTCGGAAGATCCGAAAAAGAATCATTTACAAGGACAACGTCGCTACCTCGAGCTCGATGGTCATCGTGCAAATGACGCCATCGACACGATTCAGTTTAACGGTGGCTGTTGTGTCCCACTTGTCAAAAATCCTGCCCCATGAAAAAGCCAGGAGGCAAATCTAACATATCCGATCCGAAATCTGAAGAATCCTCCTAGAGTGTGGATTTTATGGATTCGTGATCCACTTTTACGACGGCAATAAACTTACGCGTCATTTTCTTGACTTAAACAGTTACTATGAACAGGATTACCTTTTAAAATCACCCTATAAACGTTTAATTAAATAATAACTTCGGTGACGGTCGATTAGGGAGCTTAAGCAACCACGACGGCGACGGCAACTAGAACGGCAAAAAAAGCAATAGATGGTTTTCACTGTGACGTCATCAAATTGTAAAGTCAAAATAGCGAGGTTTTACGAATTCTGATTTACACTAGGATGAAGATAAACAAAAAATAAATCTTTGTACAAGTTTCCAGTCTCGTAGCATGTTTCATTTCGAAAATACAGCAATTTGAACTTCCGAGTTTTCACAGTGCGTGACACCAAAATAGGAATGCTGTCTCGTTGAAAAAAAGTCTCTCCTCTTGATTTTCAGCAGTATAACCACTTCAAGTATTAGAAGATGTGTTTATGCGTACGTATGCTAGTTCTCGAGTGAAAAGAAAGAGCTTTCATAGGAAAAGTGAACTCCAGATGTTTTTGTTGATTTCCGGCGGCCATATTGGTGCACCAAAACGGTGCACCAGTATGGCGTCTCCATACAAAGCTCTACAAAGGTGCGTGAAACGTTTCGGCAAATTACTCAGAAACTGTGGGCCACAAAGACCTGAGACTTGGACCAATTGTTTATATAATAGCCTTTTATAACATCTCATTTTCTTGGCTTCTTCCACTGGACGGTTTCCAGTTTAATTTTTTGTTGCGTGACAGTGAAAACGATCTATAGGTTTATAGTAGCAAAAAAAAAACCTTCGCACGTGCATCACGCTTTTTTGTACATTTCTTTGCCGTCACTGCATGACTACAAACGTGAAAATGCCTAATTTCAGGCTTTGTCAAGGACGGGAACCTCAGACAACAACTTTCTTTTTCTTTTCCTGAACTTTGATACTGTCCTTTAGAATTCAACTCCAAACAATTTGCCAACATTTGATGAATTAAACGAGATGGAATCAGGGGCACCCAACGGCAATTTTCGGGAAAATGTCTGTTCGGAAGACGATTTGAGAACTAGAATTTTCGGAACATTTGTTGTAAAATTTCTTGCTTGCCTGCCTCTCCTAGGATTTTCGAACATCTACAAAATGGTATAATTACCTATTTTAAACGGATATTTACCCTAAAAAAGGCCACCTAGAATTTTCGGGAGCCTTTTCCTGGCTGAAATTTTCGAAAACGTAAGTTTTGATCCCTATAATTTTCGGATCACTAGACTTTCAGCTAGGAAATCCGAACAGATGAAAAATTTTTAGGGGATAAAAATATGCCTATATCTACCGTTTAAATCCTAAAATACGTTTAACAATGCTATGTTTAAGTGGTTTTGAACTATATTCTCGTTGGGTGCCCCTGTTGACATGCAGTCCACAATTCAATTTTTAACAGCTTGTATCGTCACTACGGAAACATGTTATATCAAGAAATAACCATGAAATGTTCACCAATAATTGAGCGTTTTTATTTTATCATTAAATTGAAGGATCTGCAGTTTTGATCTGCCAAAGATTAACTGCTGACGAGAGACCAAAAAATCCCTTTATGGTGCTCTTGCGCGGCTGAAAAATGCCCCACTTCCCTTTACCACCAGTTAATATAAAGACAGCAGGGTGGAGATCATGCCTCACGGCTTTTATTTTGTTAACACAAGTAATTATAAATGAAAGAAGGAAGCTGCTCATTGTTGCACGTTAAGATTTTAAAATGTAAAGAATACAGTAAACATTAATACCTAAACTTTCAAGCGACAGAAATACATCGCGAGATTGATGGCCAGCTATTAACACGGAGTTGAGCCAAACTGTTTACTCTAGGCTAATATCTAAACATTGTTTAATTATCGTGAACACTCTCGTGAAATCATTTATCGTGCACTGGAAAAAAAAACAGCCATCTTTTAAATACAGTGAAATAACCCAATTTTACACAGATCTGGACGTCGTGAGTGATTTCTTAAGCCGTACGTGGTCTAAGCTGAAATTCGTCAACCGACCCTAAATGTTTTGTGAACGGTATTGACACAAGACGGTCTCCACGACAATTTCAGTGAATTTTATTTCTGCATCACCAAGATTCTTAATTGATCACGTGATTTTTCCTTGTAGTTGATCCATGCAACAAACTACTAATGTAATTGTGTTGGGTTTCTTCGTGGATAACAAATGGGAGAAGGTCATTTCAAAATGTTATTGAGTCTTCTTTGAACTGAGAACAACTTTAGAAATTGAAAGACACGTGAACATCGATAGGAGCTTCTTTTGTTACCATGTGTCGAGACGAATTTCGTTTGAAACATTTCGAGTTGTGGCATTCTTTCCACCGCGATTTCACTGACTCCAAGGTAAAGTCGCAATGTAGATTTATTTGTTTCACTTTAAATGTACAGTCCGCTAGTTTGCAATTTACAGGTTACCTGTTAAAATATGATATTTATACCTGCAGCGATTTATTGATCGTAGGGTTAACATGTATGTTCATGAAAACATGATTCCTGTCCGGCTTTCGACCCCGGGGGGGGCACTCCCATACATTACCTATACGGGTATGTGCCGCCCAACGGGGTCGTGATTTTGAAGCTGCTGGTTTAGAACGGGGTATCCATTTCAGAGGCGATTTCTAGAAAGGGGTATAATATTTCGAACGCACGAAAGCTCCACTTTTGTAAGCAGCCATTTGAAATTATTCAAGGACAGATTGCTTTTAAAAATACGGTTCAATGCGTTAACAAGCAAACTGTCATACTCTTGTTGCACCCTGGAACGGAGTATAAAAAATTGGCCCATTTCTAGAACGGGGTATCAGTTTTAAAGCGAATTCTAAAACGGGGTATTAAAAAATTGGCCCATTTCTAGAACGGGGTATCAATTTCAGGAGAAATTTTTTTTAGAACGGGGTGCCAATTTGGAGTCCCGGGCGGCACATACCCACCCGAAAAATACCCAAGTGCCCCCCCCGGGCTTTCGACCCTATTTCGTCCGGGCACATCTTCTAATTTCCTTTGCGTTTATATAACCTACACTCTAGTATTCTATGTTGTATGAAAAATAGAGATCGGACATAGCGAGTGAGTATGAAGGAGTGCGCACTCTGCAGAGTGGTAATTATCCCGTCTTGCTAAAACGAATTATTGTCTGTTATCTGTATTGCTTTGCTTTTTTAACGCATTTGAGATTGTTAATCTGATTCCCTTTTGAACTCTTCAAACTACTTAACGCCCTATGGCCGCGGCCTATGGCCCCGGGGGGGGCACTTTAGGAATTTCTGGGTGGGGATGTGCCGCTGGGACCCTGGGACCCTTAACCTATACCAGAGCTAGTTCAGCTGAATTTTGCTACCCTATACTAGAGTAAACTCCCCAAATCCCCTATCCAAGAGTAGCTGTTTCCCTTGTCTAGATAAAATCTTCAACCAACTGATCAGTTTCCTGAAAAATGATACCCTATTCTAGACCCAAACGCTCTGATTTATATACCCTATCCTAGAGTAAACTGCTTGAAAACCATACCCTTCACAGCGGCACATACCTATATAGCCCATATATGGCAGTACCCCCCCCCCCCGGGCCTATGGCCTCAAGTAATTCTATGAACTTAGTCTTTAAAAGCCTACATGAGGTAAATTCTGCAACATGTTCTGAACATGCATTATTGTTGTTGATCATTTGCAGCAAGCATTACTTTGTTCCCGTTATAAATATTTATCTCTGCATGCATCTCCAAATCCACGTTTTGATTCCAATCAAATTTGGTCATTTGCTCCCTTAATAAGCTGGTTAGATGTTATTCTTTGGACAGACCTTTGTACACTCATCTGCTCATACGTTGCTGGTTGTAATTTTAGAAAGACTCAAGTTTTTTTGCGAATTATCTGTCAGGGAGCCGTTTTCATCCTTGGACGGTCTCGTCGAATGGAATTTGAATAAGAAAGAATGGCAATATCGGGCGTGGAATTTTATTAAAAGGACTTTTTTAAAGTGCTGCACTTTGTTGACGGGTGGCAAAAAAGCCCCTCCAGATCGGCCTGAGTACAAAAACAGCTTTCTGGATCAGACTCAGTCCCCGCGTTCTAGTGGCGTAAGGATAAGAAACGTTGAGCTCTATTTCGATATAAACTTTTCCTTGTGTAGTGACAATTAGTGACAAAGTATCGATGCGTAAATAGTGGATCCACGCATAAATTAAATGTGGAGTGAATATATGAATAAATAATTTCTGGGAGTTTAATAAGTATTTGTGGTAAGTACAAAGACTGAAACAAACAACATCGAGATAACTCAAACAAGTAAGCAAGTAAATAAATGAATTAGAAAAAACAAATGATCATGCAAATCATCCCTTTGATTAACAGCCTGCAGAACAATCGTTATTTTTTCGCGTTTTTCAAGCGAGAAACAGTCAAGCGGAGCGCGAGACACGCGCCTTCACCTATCGTGCGTGTACGCGCTTGCCTTCGCCCGCCTGAAACAGGCGAAAAAATAATGTCTGTTATGTAGGCTAATTGAAAACGAGATCCTCGCGTGACCAGTAGGTCAACAACGATTTCGTAGGTACGTGTTCGGTTCTTGTGTTCTCTTGTTAAGCTTTTTTTTCCAATTCCAATATCGATCACTGGAATTTTTAAGCCATTTCAATATCGTCTTCATATTAAATCACCATATTACTGAACACCATCATAATTATTAGTACAGTTTCTGGGGGCTACTTAATTAGAAAAGGCTCTATTTTTGTTATGCTTATCACAAATGAAACTTTTCAGCTCACTAATCACGGTAGTGTCTCTGAGTATTTTTTTCCCCTTGCAACGCGCTTTACGGTTAAAAAGATGGTTACTTGAGTTTATTTTCATTTTTATGTTAACTTTCGCATCCCGGCACAAACGTTTACAATTTAAAGAGCTTTCATCTGTTACGGCAACGAAAATGTCATTTATAGCGTGAATTTGCGCCCCTTCCAAACTTTTTCGCAATTTTTCCAACTCGCTTGATCAATCAAATGTTGGTGAAGACTCACCAGGAGTTGAAGTTTTAGAGACCGTATATCTAAGTTCAGCAACAGAAAGAAAAATCGGTCGTTGTTTTCATGTCGTCCGTCCATAAAATGTGAAATCGTCGTAGTCTCACAGTGACGACAATCCTTTTAATATTTGTAACTCGCCAGGTATATTATTGTTTCGTCTCTCTAGTAAACGGTAAATAGTATTTCTCAGGAGCTCCGCTTTTAGGCTTGAGAAAAAAAGGTTTGGCCCATGAACTAGTAAGTAAACACTTAAAGAGTACCTTAACTATCGCTGTTTGCAAGATGTCGCGTTTATTCGAGTCCGGTTGGGGGCTCAACGTTATTTATTTATGTATTTATTTACTCGTCCCACGCTCACCAGGTGACATGAAGAATGTTAAGTCAATTTTTTCCATCTTTGATTTCCTTTCTGTAGTGGCTTCCCCCACCAGTTTTTATCGTTTATCGCCTCATAGTCCTCGCTTACAACTTGGCATGGCTCGTCTACAACATGTACTCCGCGGGTGGAAAACTTTTCATTTACCTTACAAACTGGACCTTTGCCATACTGAATATATATTTCATTGTGGCAACAACTCTGTCCTGTATTGCCTTTTACATCGACTCGAAAAAGCAAATGGAGGGAAGCACAGAGAAACCTGGGGTTGAGATCTTAATGGGTTCTGAAGACGAACTTGACGAGCCAGAAAAAAGCGCGCGAGAGAAGTACACTCTCCGCTGGGAACACAAGACGCTATGGCTACTTCATATTATCTCTGCCACTGGAGGATTATGGATAACCGCAGGGTACTGGACCGTACTTGTGGGTGATGATGTAATCGATGCTAACAACATTACAAAGCATTTACTTAACTCTGTATTCATGTTGATCGACACGTGCTTAAGCTGCATCCCAGTGCGACTGGTCCATTGGCTGTATGCCCTTCTGTACTTCGCTGTGTACATCGCCTTCTCTCTCATCTACTGGCAGTTGGGTGGCACCAACATCGAAGGAAAGCCTTACATCTATAAAGCCCTGGATTACAACGATTTCTCCCCAATATTTGGAGGCCTCTTAGTAGTTTTCCTGCTCGTTGTTTTGCCTTTCTTGCATTTGTTTTTGCTTGGCCTCACCAAGCTACGAGATTACATTCACAAAAAGCCTGATAACGACAAGAGCATATAAGGTCGATTCCCAAATATATAATTTATTCATAAAGTACACACAAAGTAGTTCAATGTAACAAACCTTACTTTACAACTGAAAATTTCTCCAAAGATTATTGGTGAATAAAAAGCTGTATCAAGCATTTTAAAGCGTAAGTTGGGTTTATTACTTTGATAGTGTTTACATATCGGAGAGATATAAAAAGTAGGAAGAATAGGGAGCTTAATGAGCGACGGACGTCAACCGGAAGTGGACTTTTTGCATCATTGGGGAGTAGGTTGGTTGAAAGTCTCAGGTAAATCGTCTTTATAAGAGAAAAGAAAGTTAGAAGGCCTCACTTCCGGTTGTGGACTACGAAGTAGTCCCCCATTTTTCCTCAGGGATAGTAGAGTAAGCGAAACGCGAGCGCGCGTGAAAATCACTCCACGTGAGAAAAGGCGACACGTGGCAAGGAGAGAGAAAAGAAAGTTAGAAGTCCTAACTTCCGGTTGACGTGCATCGCTCATTTAAACTTTGGCCCAGTTTCACATTGGTTTCTAAAGTTGCTTTAGTTTCTACTTCAGTTACTTTACTAGATTTCCTTTATGACTTTGAGTTCTATGAAACATTTAACAAATCGACCACACTTTTCCATGGTCAACACTCTTGCAGACCATAGAAATGACGTCATAAAATGTTCAAAACTCAAGTGGAACCACGAACCGCAGGCAAGTGGCTTCACTACAAAGTTTTGAACATTTTTTGGCGTCATTTCTATGGTCTATAAGAGTGTAGACCATGGAAAATTGTGGTCCATTCGTTTTTTACAATAACATATATTTTTTTTACGAAAAACCAAAACCAAAACATCCGGCACCGCAGGACATGTTACTTAAAACACCACTTAGAAACTGCACGCGATCCGTCCGCCATTGTGTCTTCTGACTACAAAGAAGGCAAAGCTCATTTTTAGATTGGGCTTTGCCACAGGTACAGGTACCCCAAGGACAATGACAACTGACAAGGTGCGCTATTATGCTGGTACTACGCATTCCAATATAATAATTAGATTTTTTTGCTACGGTTCGGAAACCCAAGCAGGACGAAACAATTGTCTTGCAGTGCGGTCCTGCTCTATTTTTATGGTTATTTGTGTCATGTTGACATATTGCTGAACTAATTTTTATTTCATGGTGTATCAAACTTGCTGCCTTTCTTGTTTATAGAGTGTAAATCAGCAGCCACATTGTCGTGGCCTGGTACTTATTTCTTTCCTCTGTTTTAAGATGAATTTTAACATATCATCTCCCTTTGCGATTTGATTACTACAAAATGAAAAGTCACATTAACTCAACAGTCAAATACTACTCCCATTACCCTGATTATCTAATTTTAATACTAAAATGCGAGTATTTTGTAACAAGTAAATCGAGCGGTAATGGCATAACGGTGAGAGAAAAATAGTGAATGGACTTGATAATATATCCAACTTAGATTCCCGCAGTCACCATTTTCGCATAGGCCATAATGCACCATGTTAACCCCCAAATTTTGCATAACCACCCAGGAGAAATATTGGAAACAATGGTTAGTAAAAAAGGTGCTTGCATTATGATCTATGTGAAAATGGTGAATATAACACAAAGTTTCAATTTTAATTTGGACACCATAAACAAAAGAGATAACCAGAAACTTTTCAACAATTTTTTCCTCAAAATCTTCCGAAAACGTTCAAGTTCTTTGAAAAAACTAACCACATATATTGTAAATTGAGTAGGCAGTGAAATTTAAATATTTACAGTAAAAGCCGAACTCGACAGGTGAAAAGGAATTGATCTTTTATTTATGCATTATTTACATCTGCTACAGCATCACACCCAGTCTAGGAAACTTGTATTTTTCTTGTATCTTTGTCTGAATTTAGTGCATTGTTCCTCCTTTCGGTGACAACAAGACCGTCGAAATCTTCCAACAGAACTGTTTCTTACAACAGTGTGGGGGTACATTATTCTTCTTTTTATGCGTACTAATTTCCGCGGATGGAAGGAAACGCGACTGTCTCGATTTTGTCTGTAAATTTGTCTACAAGATTCATGAACACCACCACCATGCACAACAGTTTGCCATATTACATCGCGAAAGCCATCGTTGTTTTGGCTGCAGTTACATTTGTGGGCAATGCGCTAGTTTTAGCGGCAATTTGGAGGAACACTACCCTTCGCCGAACAAATTGTTACATTTTGATTGCAGGACTGGCCTTAACTGATTTGAGCAGTGGATTATTGGCCCAGCCAATTTATGCTTCAATTGATTTATTCCTCCTAACCAAATCTGAGCGGCCGCATCACATAATGATGGGGATTGCTGATGGTTCTTTGACTTTTATCACATCCCTTACATTATTGATCTTAACACTCTTGGCCTTTGAGCGATGGCTACACATGAACTGCCAACGAACTTTGATAACAGTTCGGAGAGCCGTCATTATTTCTGCAACTCTGATACTCGCTTCCATACCCGGAACTGTGTTTCGAATTCTCAATACCATCAAGGGGCAACATGGATTTACTGCAAACGTTATTTCCTTAATTTTACTGTTGTTTTGCCTCATCGTAACTTCTGTGTGTTACATCGGCGTTTTTCGAACAATTCGACGCCATAGGCAACAAATTCAAGCAAATCGCTCATCTCAAAACTTTGGGCAACCAGCTATAAACTTTACAAAGTACAAGAAATCTGCCTTGTCTATCTTTTACATTCTTGTACTCTTTTACTTGAGTTATCTTCCCATGTGTATCTTTCTTTTACTCAAAGTTGGAAGGCTTCAAGGAGTACCCCGCGACAGTGTCTTTCACTCCTTGATGTTGTTGGTTTTTTTATCGCCGTCGCTGAATCCTTTTCTCTACATGTGGAGAATGAAAGACATTAGAAATGAAGTGAAACGATTGATCGGGTCATTTTTCCACAAAGACCATTAATTAAATACGAAATACAGTTAAGCCGTATGGATTTCCCTCCTGTTAACTCAAACACTGTTGAGTATATCTTACAAACAGTTACAGTCCGCTCAATATTGACACGCACTGAGAATACCCAGGCTAAAGGCTTAAAGGCGTCTGAGAACATTTCTTCAAAACTCAAAGGGTCGGTAGACTCGCATTCAAGTTCATGCGAGCAATATATATAGCTGATTCAATGAATGCATCTCAGAATTGCCAAACAATAGCTTCCTAGTTGCCCAATCCCGAATGCCCAAAGTAACCTTTAATTATTGAATCAGCTGTATATAGGCTACACGGGCCGGCGAGTAAGTACCAATCGACAAGTCTCCTCCTCAGGCGCTTCGTTTTTCGCAAGGGAGCGGGCGAGCGACTGGTGATGAACCGCAAGGGACCATGGGAAGGGTACAGACAGCAGGCGAAGTCTCGCCCGTTGTCTCCTTCCCGCCTTCCTTCGCGCGCACATTTTCATAGAGAAAGAGAGACGTCTGGGTACGAGGCAGCCACTCAACTTAGGGTATGGTTTTTGCCTCTGTCACCTCTTTGGAATAGGGTATTAAAATCACCCTTTGTCTGGGGTATATGTTACTCCATTTTGACTCTGGAACAGGGACGATTTTCTAATCCCTGATTATTCCCGATAAAGCTTAGGTGAAACAACACTCCAGTGAACCGCTGCATGAACAGGATTCCTAACATTTTAATAATACTTGTCAAGGACAGGGCCGCAAATTCATCTCATTTTGATGCACGTAATTACAGATATGAGCAGAGAGATATATAAGTATAGTAAACATAAACAAACAGCAACAAAGAATTACAAATAGTTAACCCGAAGCCCTAAGAGTGATCAGCATCAAATTTCTCCTTGTAATAGCAATAAAACGGAGTGGTCATGAGAATTACGGACATGATCACACAAAGATGACTGCTTGATATTTTATCAACTTCTTCCCACTACCTCTGTAGTAAGTGTATAGGGGCAACAAATGAGAATTCAAATTTTGGTCTTTATGATTTAAAAGGTTAAACGATACACAACGCTTTCGGAGTGACGTCAACTCAGGCCTTGCCACACGTATCCGTTTTCATTTGAAAACGCAACTTTTTCGGGCTCATAATAAGCGTACACGTATGAGTCAAGCTTGCACAGTTGGGGTAAGTTATCGTTTTCAAATTGATTCATCACATACGTGTGGACGGGCGAAAACGAATCGAAAAAGCTACGAGTGGACGCGAATTTTTTGGAGAACGGAGAAAAAAAGTTACGTTCTCAAACGAATAAGGATACGTGTAGACAGGGCCTCAGTCAGGTATGGGAAGACGGAAAATGATCTCCTCCCCCTCTTCCTTTTGCAGAGATTCCTGTGCTGTCCGCAAGGATGTGACGTAAAGAATTTTCGCTCACGTGGCCTGCAGCAATGAGCATTTTTTGGAGCAAAAGCGAGTGTTTACATAAGAAAAAGGTTCAACGAATTGTTTTAGACACCAACAAAGACCAACAAAGCCCTCGTTTCTATGATATGGCGTACGTGACGTCATGTGAACAACGGTTTTTACACGCACATACGCAACACCTCTAGATGCTGCTTTGTGCGTGACCGGCGCCTTTCCGGCTCACGTCATGCATATTTAATTTCACGAGAAAGAATTTCAATAAAAATGTAAATAGGGTTTAAACCGAGCACAACTTCAGTATTTCATCAAGCACGCAAACTTCGTTCAGAGCTGCTTCAGTAATAGTCTCGAGACTACTTCTCTAAGTATGTGTCGCGGCGAATTTCGCTTGAAACATTTTACTCTGTGGCATTCTGATCACCGCGATTTCGCTGACTCGAAGGTGAGCTTTTTTGAATACAGTTTTTGTCTAATGAAATATTGCCGACTAGCTTTCGCTAATCCAGGTTCTGAAGGCGATTTTGACCGCAAGAGGTGAGGTACATAAGTCTGGCCTTAAATCACACTTTCCGCCCCCTATGTTCTGAAAAAAAAAAAAAAAAAAAAACAACGACGGACATAATGTATCACTCAACTCAAAACAAAGTGCTTTTAGTGCAGGTAATCTTCCTAACCAAATTTCCATTTATTACAGTTTTATTCCGTGTAGTAGCGCTCATGTTATCATACACAGATTTTGTGCGTTGTTAAACTCTAACTGTTTAGGATGAGGAAAAAAACGGAATAGGAACGAGACTTGTAATGACACAATTTAATATCTGAATTAGAAACTCTAAAAATTTCATTGTTCGTCTACAAAAACAACATTAGAAAACGAATAAATTTAATTAACACGAACATTACAACCATCTTCATCATTATTACCACTCAACCTGACTGTAATAAAAAAAACTTTACTTTCCCTCAAAAACAAACAAGTGGGTCAAATCTCAGACAGGTTCTTTGACCTTTCTTCTGTAAGGTTTCGCGGTGATGAATATTGATATCGGACTACTCACCACCGAGCTAAGTGCCGTGCAACGAATTTTGTTTTATTAACCTTCTTGATATAACCCCTACCACATTCTTGCATTTCACTTCCCACATTTGACTGCGAACTAGTCTCTCCTTTTCTTCAGATTTAGTGAGGGGAGTGCACGCGCGCGAGAGTACGGGTCATTTTTGTGTCTTGCGCGTTTCGTTTGACGGACTAAGAAGCTCGCAGTCCAATACAACATCAATTTTGCTAACTCGTCCCCAGTCGTCTCTATTTGGATCAAACACTGAGGACGGAACACGAGAAGCTTGACCAAAGGGAGGGTGAGGGGCGATGGGAAGGAGGAAGGAGGGGAGTTTTCCTCCTTCCCATCATCCTTCCCGCTCCCTTTGGTCACGCTTCTCGTGTTCCCTCCTCCGAGTTTGATCCAAATAGAGACGACTGGGGACGAGCCAGATAAGTTTGTATAATGATACCGTTTTTAGCTCCCCCTCTCAAATAACCCCCTCTTTTTCAGGGGAAAATAGTTAATAAGCCCCCCACACCCCCTTTCCCTAATTATTCTTCGCTTATAAATTATAGACTGTGTTAATCATCACGACTGTAAAACGTCGTGTGGTCACCAATCCGGAATGGTTTATTCACCAACTGGAAGTTCGGATTTGTTTCTGATCCTCCTGCATGACCTCCAACGTCCTGTACTTGAACTTTTCCACTTCGTATTCTAGTTCTTTATGGAGAACTGATACCATCGTCTTTGCTAAATTAAATAAGCCCCCCTCCCCCACCCCTCTCAAATAAGTCCCCGTCTCTATTAAGCCCACCCTCAAATGGGTTTAAAATAAATAAGCCCCCGGGGGGCTTAATAGAGGATTTACGGTAATTATCACAGACACATAATGCTAGAAATCTGACCATTCTTTTTTAGTTCCTACCCCTACCAGTATTCATCGTATATCGCTTCATAGTCCTCGGTTACAACCTGGCATGGCTCTTCTACAACATTCACGTCTTCGGAGGAAAGCTGTTCATTTTCCTTACAAACTGGACCTTTACCATTCTTAACCTCTATTTTCTTCTGGCAACAACACTGTCCTGTATTGCCTTATACAAGGACATGAAAAACCAAAGAGCGCAGCACAACACCGTGCAGGAGTTGAGGGGAATGGAGTCTGGGGCAGAGCCTGGAGACTCAGCTGAAAGCGCAGGCGAGAAAGACGCCCTGCGGTGGCATCACAAGTTGCTATGGCTTCTCTTCATTATCTCTGCCACTGGAGGTTTATGGGTAACTGCAGGGTACTGGACTGTGCTCGTAGGAGATGACGTAGTCGATGCAAACAACATTACAAAGCATTTGTTAAATTCTGTATTCATGGTGATCGACACCTTCTTGAGTTGCATCCCAATTCGTCTGGTCCACTGGCTGTACGCCTTTCTTTATTTCGTGGTGTACATCGGCTTTTCTCTCATCTACTGGGCAGCTGGTGGGACCAACAATAAAGGAGAGCCATTTATCTACAAAGCCCTCGACTACAACGACTTCTCGCCAACAATTGGGGGCCTTTTGGTTGTTTTCCTGTTCATTGTTTTGCCCATTTTACATCTAATTTTATTTGGCCTTACTAAGTTACGCGATTATCTTGATAGAAGGCGAAATAACTTTGAGTAGCACGTAAGTTTGCTTTTTGATTGAATCACATCCTAATTACTATTTAGCCCAAATTTTGTGAACGTTTGCTTGGATTATCTGCAAGTACTCCTGATCATTTGAGAGGCGATATCTCAAGTCAGTATAAAACAAATCCGCTGCTAACAACTTAGAAGTCTAGTTATACGGGGCCTCTGTTCAAAGTTCTTTCTCGTATTTCGCGCAAGGGATAAAGGTAACAAACTTTAGATCGACGGTGCATTTATTTTCACGCCCATCCTTCCTCATGGGAATCAAACTTGGGACCTTTTGTGCAGAACCATTTATCCTTTAATACTCCCAGTGGGTAAGACTTTAACCCCGGGGGGGTACTCCTGGAAATGTGATTTTTAACACCCGTTTCTAAGAAATTATTTCGTCATTACTTAGATAAGAACAGCGACAAAATTTCTTAAAATACATTTCGAATTCGCATTTTTTCCTCTCTTTCTTACTCATTTGGAATTGAAACGATAAATACCTTCATACATTCCTGTAGTTCCCTCGAAAACCATACCCGATTCCAGACCAAAATGGGCTAAGTCGATGCCCATTTTAGAGCAAAACAGCGCAAAAACCTACCCTTTGTGGCGGCACACACCTATATGGCTTATGTAAGGGAGTACCCCCCGGAAATTTATAAAGCTGTCTGACACATATTTGGTTTGAAAAACACCTCTTACAATCAACTTACTTATACAGTGGAAGGACCCTGAAGCTCTCATAAGCGGGCACCCTCGGGACGCGAAAAAGGTGACCGAAACTGGAGCAGACCGCCTAGGGGAATGTAAAAATACAGAGTTTGTATCGGAGTCGACTGAACCAGGGTTTTGTGAAGGTGGCCGTAAGTAGAGTGTACATTTACGATAGTGTACGTTCGTTAGGAGGGCTTCCATTGTATTCAGAGACCAGTCACGAGAGAAATCTGGGGACGAGCCCCCCTGGCTTCCCTAAAAAAATTCTTGAATACAGGCCTTATTTTCTTTTTTATTAGTTGGTATATTAGTTTTCATATGAGTCACGTTTTGTCCGGATACACAGTCTGCGTATTAAATAGTTACTCTCGACGCTAGTAAATGGAAAGAAAAATGGAAATTTATGTCCTTGGAGGCCATTCTATATAAGGTTAGGCCTAGCATGACTGAACAAGAGTATGTCTTTATATTGTCCTTGTATTCGTCCAGTGCATACTACGTGTATGGAGTCATTTTATTCGAATTATTTATTTCGCTCACATATTATAATTGTAACATTTATCACTGCCAGCAGAAGCCCAAATTTGCTGGTTCCGTTTTCGTTGCTTAACCAACGAAGAGGAAAAAAATACTTTAATTAATACATATATTGTTATGAATTCCTATCCTTAGTGTTTCTGAAAAATTGTATTTATAATAAAAGTTGTGACAACTTAGCCTTCTGCCGCTCTAAACACCTGAAAAGAATTTAAGAGGAACAGCGACGTGCAACGGGAGGAAGGCTCCGCCCCGAAGTCCAAACCCTTTGCCCTTTTGTATACCACCGTTGTAGTACAGAAAAGGGTACCCTTTCGTACATCTTTCATTGAAAAATGGATACCTACTTTGGAGAGGAGCACTCCCGTATAGTTCATTCAGTGAAGGGAGTCCCCGCCAGCAATAGGCCTGTATTTGAAAGTGAGAGTGCGTAATGGTTAGCGGTGCTGATAGCGTACTCAACTGCAAAAGTTCGTAAGGGGGTCCATAGGTAACCTTCCCGATAAAATGATTCAAAGTTTACGCCGGGCACGGGGCCACCCGTGCCCCTACTCCTACGGCTATGTACAATGCGGGGAAAGCTAAGGGCATGTTTACATGGTGGTGGGGGACCCTAGGTAGGTGAGGTAACCCGCTTAGGTGAGGTAACCTGTCTGTCCATTTAATCTCTCATTTCAATTTGATCACGTTTACATGGCCATACGACAGATTATATGGACAGGCGGGTTACACCACCTAAGCGGGTTGCCTCACTTATCTGGGGTACCCCACCTCCATGTAAACAGGTCTTAACTCTGCACTGGTTTAGATAACGGCAAAGGAACTCATCGCTGATCCAAAATAAAAGAAAGTACTTTGGTTTTATTTAGTGTTCTCAAACTCATTAATAATTCATTAAGAAAATACAAAGGAAATTAATGTTTAATGAGTGTTTGGAAATCGGATGAAACACTGCTTAGTATTTGCATCCTTAATTTCTCCTTCAAAAATGATTTTGTTTGAGAAGAAATATCAAACATTCGGCACAGTGTTTCATCACCAGATGAAACAACTCGAAGTTCGTCAAAAATACTCCGCTGCGCGTCGTATTTTCAACTCTCTTCTCGGTGTTTCATCTGGTGATGAAACACTGCATCTCATGTTTGATATATTACTTGAAATAGGTAAACAGACATTCGACATTTAGCATCAAACATTGTAATTTTTTCATAGCCTTTTGTCCTTTGCTTTGAGAACATTGATATCGAAAAGAAGATAAGCAAAATTACATAACAATAATAATGAATAACTTTTGTTTTTATTGCTATATTAACCTTTCCCCTCCTTTAAGGTACGCATATGTGTGCGTGTGGCTACGTCCTTGATGACCACGCTGGTTTGGGTTGTGGCTCTTGTTTTTTTTTTGTTCTCATTTAGGGCCTGTTTATATGGGGGTGGGGAACCCAGGCAGGTGAGGTAACCTGCTTAGAAGCATGGGGTAACCCGCCTGTCCATATAACTCTCATTTTAATTTGATCACGTTTACATGATAGGTGGGGTGACCCGTCACTCGTTACCTCACCTATCTGGGGTCCTCCACCTCCATGTAAACAGGCCCTGCTCTGTCACGGTTGTCTGGTTCGTTTTGTTATAATGCTGATTATCCATCCTTCATTCGCTATTGGACTTGAAAAATTACTAGCTTGGGAACGAAAAGATCACAGCTTCGTGACTCCCAAGCATTATTTCAAACGTTGTAAACAGCAAAAGTGATCTTAGAAAAACTGTTAGGGTAGGCATGGGTCGCACTTGGGAAAAGTTTTCATCTTTGCCGGCTAAAAAACCACAAAAATTCGAAACCGCAACCGGAAAAGAAAACGTTTAGTCCAACCGAGGAGGGTCGCATTTAATAGTGGGAGTTAATAGTTTTTGCTTTGACACATTGAGAACTTAAGAACGCCAGATACCCGAAAACATTTTTCTCTTCTTCGTCCGAACCTTTGTCGAAGGATCTTTTTCCTCCATTCCGAGTTTCAGGAGGATGGGACAAATAAAGAAGACCAGAAAGTGCTTAAATGTGAATAGTGCATTTGGCTTGGAGAATAACAAACCTGTGAAGTGTTTGCTTGTGTAGACGGGAAGTGGTTCGCCTTCAATAGAGCTAGTTCCCGTAAAAACCTTAAAATAGCGAAGGTTTATAAGCGAGTGAAGTCCTTGCCTGTAGAGAGTTTTCGAAAAAAACTTGAAATGGCGAAGGATAGCCGAGTAGAAGCCTCTTCGCGAAGGTCTAAAAATTCGACCGCGTTTACTTTAAATTGATCTTGTTTCAAATGGATCACGTTCATGACAAGGCGCTGACAGTTACCGCTGTGATTCCTATTGTTTAGCTCGAGTTTTCCAAAATCTGCCTGCCCCACCCAAGCACTACGGCGTCTTTGATGTTTTTGCCGATTTTCAAAGTTTTTTCTAACTTGAAAAACTCGGGGTCGCACTTAGCAATGTCCACTGATGACAGATTTCTACCGCAAGGTAAACAAATTCTCCCAAAAATTTGCCAAGTGCGACCCATGCCTAATACGTTTCCGGAAGTTTTCAAAAACCACTAATGCAATCCATTTCCAAATCTTCTTTAAGTTGGCCCATCAACCTACCCTCCCACGAAGGCGTTTTTAGGGGAGTTCGTGTTTCGTCCCTACCCACAAACTTAATAAATTTTAAGTCTCTTTTACTTCCAATTCTGAATTTCAGTTACTCTTGATTTTTGTTTTCTGTTTTTTCTGATTGACGATTCTCGCTTCGAATTTCTTACTTCTTTGTTATGATTCAAGTGCGTGATTAATTGCTGTTGACATCACAGGTGGCTCAAGCATCTTTAATGTTGCGTAACGTTCAAAATGATAAGGATTTGTATGGGAGAAAAAAAAAAGAATTTTCATAAAAATCAACTAATTTCTCGCCTTCATTAAATGCAGTGCCTCACAAAACTTAAAGTCAAGAGATGACATTTATCTCGCCTCATTGCACTTCAGTAAGTGTTTTGTCTCGCACCGCACGTTTCATTTAGAACTTCTAAATGGCGACTGTTACGAATTTTCTTCAAAGACGGGTTTTCATGTTAAATCATTGGAGGGTTCATCTCCTTTCAGGTCGCAAGTTTTCCACCAAAATTCAAGAAGAACTTACTTGTCGCCTGGCTACGTCAAGCGACTTCGACAACGTCGTGAAATTATCAACGGGAATTTTTAACGGTTACGACTGTATTCCAGTTGTATTCCACGAATGGCTTAAGAAGGAAAATATGGCCATAATGCTATTGTTTGCAGGCAGAAGTCTAATCGGCCTGAGTGCAAGCTGCATTGTTGATGAAGGAAAAACGTTTGTCCGTCGCTTTGATCGCATAATACCCAATCTTCGTGGCCAGGGTCTCCAGAGAAAGATTGCCGATGCATTGGACGAACATGTACAAACAAACTTCCCAAACGTCTCCAGAGAGCGATTTACAAGTTTTCTAGATCTCACAAAAGTCATCACTGGGAGAAGGGCCTATCAAATTCTTGAGCGTGATGAGTTGTCGTTTTTTGTGCAGGAGAAACCAACAGGAAACTTTGACAGATATTGCAGTTTTCGCCGTGTTCTCGGTAAAGAGAAGGAATCTGATATTGAGTCGTGTACCAAAGAATACTTCTGCAACGTTATCCTGTCCTGCCCAGTAAAAGAGAAGATGATTCCCAACAATAATGTCCTCGTGTTCGACTGGTGCCCGTATGAGCCTCTCCCATCAAATGTCGACTTAATCCCAGGAGAAAAACACCACTTACACTTCTTCGTAGACAAATGTTCTTCTTCAGGCGGTCCAATATCTTTTAGCTACGGAATTCATACACAGACAGTGATAGCAGAGAAATGGGAGGCCACAGTTTACACTGATGATCCAGCCGTCTTTGAAGCTCATCTTCTGCATCAGTTTAGGCTTGCTCGTGATATCATCGAAGGCAAATTCACCTTCTTTTCAGTTCAAGATAGAATCATGACGCCATTTGCCCGAAGGGTACTGTGGGAAATATTGCAGCTAAAAGAGGCCAATTTTCTCAACGGCTCGACGATGAAAGTATTTGAAAGACCTTTCATTCCGCGCTAATCCACCGTACCTAAAAAGATGGCGACTGGTACATTTACCCACACTTCTTAGCGCATGAAAACCATAGAATTGCCCATAAAAACGCACAGAAAAGTTTTATAAACTTCAAACCTAGGATAGGCAATGTTGCTGTTACAGGGGCGAATTTCGCCCCCCCCAAAAAAATATGACGTTATGTGTAATTGGCCCTGTTAGGTTCGAAAGGAATTGTGGTAAAATGTACAGCCGCCATCTTTTTCCGTACGGCGGATTCACAAAGCTTGATCAAAGTCTCCAAAGGCTTGGCTTGCAGCTATTTGTCAACGCCAAGAATGGAAACATAAAACGCCGTCATACAAATTGCTTGCAAGACGTTCATTTTAACCTCTATTAGTTTTTCTATCGTGTCTATTAGTTTGAGTATGATTTACACTTTCTGATTCAAGATGCCATTATCCAGTAATATCAGTTTGTAATGTAACGGGGAATACCGCTCTATGAACAGATATTACAGGTACGGTGTTTCGATACTTACGTATAACCCAAATGCCGTCAACTCTCATTTATTGTATTTATTCATAGTACCCATAGTTCTCCGAGTACAAAGAACAAGAAGCAAAGTTAAGCTTTGGAGAACAAGAGATCGTTAGGTTAATGATGTCTGTTTGTTAAATAGCTACGATCCTGTAGAAAAATAATAAAAGCCTTTTTCTCTGAATATCAGATCAAGCAGCCCTTTTTGGAATACTTTTTGTTTGTTGGTAGTATTTCAGTTTTCATCCAGGTCACTCTTGAAGGGGAATTAAGGCTTGGGAATGAAAAGTTCTGCTATGACATATAGCGTTTGCCTGTTTTTGCTGTTTTTGTGTTATATCAGGTCAGTTTAACCACAATTTCTGAATTGTCCTAATGTAACACAATCTTTCAACGCTTAAAAGTGTCCTTAAATTTTGTGCTGGAAGCGGTAAACTTAGGATGGGACAGAAATCTTCTTGGTATGCGTGCCGTTTCCAAGACCAAGAGGATGATCTTTGGCAGCTCATTGACGTTTATCGCTCTAGGAGTCTTTCCTAAATTCTGGTCCATTCTCTTTTTAACGAGTCCTAGCGCACCAACATTAACTGCCCTGATGATGATGATGATGATGATTATGATGATTCATCATCATCATTTTATGGTTATTATTATTATCGTCATTTTTATGATTATTATTATTGTTGACAATCAGGAATTGCGTGACGGCTTTATGAATATCATGTGATTATATCATATCATATTCCTTTTGAAGATTCCACGAAAGTAGTGTTCCTGTTTACACTATAGCAAATTAAACATGAAAATTGGCATGTAGATTTTCCCGAAAGTCAACGATCAGCGAACGCTTCTTCGACAGTCATGGTTAGCGACGAGTTTCGTATAAAACATTTTTCTCTGCGGCATTCAGCTCAACGTGAGTTTACAAGCTCCAAGGTAAGTGTAAACTACTGTAGGCTATAAACAGTCCAACCTTTTGACGAGGGGTGGGGATTAAGATTGCATTTCATTTCTTCAAACGGAGGGAACCGTCATGTCTGCTGGTCAAGACATGATAATAAACGAGCTCCCAGTAAGCTGGAGCCTTTAGTAGAGAAGGAGTAATTTCGAAACTTCAGAATTCTTATAAGAAACTGCTTTCGTGACGACCACTATTCAGCTGACAATTCGCGGAAGCCAATGGTAAGACTGCCAACTCGACAAAGAGTAATCAGTAGTTAACAATTTCAGTGAACTAGATACAAGTAAACAAATGCAGCCGTGTGATATATTTTGCACTAAAAAGTTGCAAGTTTAATCATCCAATACAGGCCCACCAAAGCCGGATGTGACGGCAAAGAAAGTGAAAGATTGTCATCATAGCACTCTGACCCCTATGTTAATGTTAGAGACAGTTCAACATTACGGCTTCAACTAGCGAATCATTGTGGGAGGGGGGCGGTGTCCGAAAAAATTTTTTTCGGCCCTTCGGGCCTTCGTTTGTTAAAAATAAGGGGCCCCCCTCCCCTGTATCCGCCACTGCATGGTTAAAACCAACCGTTAAGGTTTCCTCGATCGATTGTTTTTTTCTCAGTAATATTATAGCTCATATAATATATTTGATCACGAGATCAACAGGATATTGTTTCTGGACCATGAGTCTTTCCCACTTGACCTTTTTAGAATTCCTGACCAACCCGACTCCAACAAGTCTCATTACGGAATATTTAACCATCGGCCGAATGGGCTATTGCCTCAGAGGCCAATACAGGCCATGAGGGCGAGAGGAATAATTGTTTTAGTAAAATCCAACTAGTTGGTCAAAAATAAAATGGATTTTAATCCTTTTCTGCCGCCAAAAGCCCGCGTTTTCACTACTAGTGGGCTATTCCTGAAGCCTAGACTCAACCAATCAGAACGTACTTGGACCACTTTTCTAAAAACACATAATCCGTAGTTGTCATGGATTTCACGTTGGGTAACTTGTGGAACTTGCATTCTGGAATCCAAAGCCAAGGATCCCGGATTCCACGAGCAGTAATTTCTTGAATTCTGAAATTATAGCAAGGGGGAAAGATAGCGCGTTTGAAACTGAATGAAAGATGTTCAGCACTATATAATGTCCTTTTCCTCACCTGGGCCTCAAAGCAAACGAGAGGCTAATGCACTACGACCCTATGAAATCCCACAACTTGCTTGTACGTCAAGTTAACTGGCCATGTGGTGTAACCGCACCACTTATTTCAGATAATTGAACTGCTTATGTTCATCAGACCCATAAACCCAATGGGACGAGTAAGCCACGATGTTAGCACGTAGTTCTTGCAGCTTGCATTCGAATGCTCCCGCGAAACTACAATTCGTGAAATTAGAACATATCAACTGACTTTGGTCAACTGGTATCTCACAAGGGGACCAAAGAAGAAGAATTAGGCTGGAATATCGAAGGCTTGAGTCATGCCTTTTGAAAAAATCATTTTGGGTGAAAGTTTTTAAATACTAACGTTGACATGTTGTGCTCGACGTCCTTTTCCCTCTCCTTTCACCGTTGGCCTCAAAATTGGACAAATCCACTTAAACCTATCACTAAACAACATTACAGGGAGAAATGGAGGTAAAACAGTTGTGCGGTGACCCAAATTAGGTGTCCTTGATTGTAGCCTTCGATCACTAAGTCCTTTCCTATATCTCATGTTATAGAACGCCTGACAAAACGTTAGCCAGAAACCGTCAGTATTTGAAGTATTCATGGAAGCTCTGTTCTCACAAATTTGTCTGCCTTTTTCTAGTGGCTGGCTATGCCTGTTTTTGTGGTGTATCGCCTGATGATCGCGGCATACAATCTAACGTGGCTTATCTACAATATATACCTGAAAGGAGCTAAGCTGTTTATTTACATCTCAAACTGGAGTTATACACTCTTTGTTGTCTACTTTACTATTGCAACCATTCTTTCCTGCATTGAAAAGTGTAACGATCTGAAAAAGGAACTAGACAGTGCTTCTGGTGAAAGCGATAAAGAAACGCCAGAAGATGGGATAGAAATGAAGATCTATGACGTGGATGATGACCCAGTAACGACCGACGGAGAGAGAGACGCTTTGGGATTTGGACATAAACTACTTTGGTTTCTTCATACAATCTCTGCTACTGGAGGTTTGTGGGTGACCGTGGGGTACTGGGGCGTACCTTTCGAGGATGGGAAAGTAGACGCTGATAACCTCACAAAGGAAGTGTTTAGTTCTGTGTTTGTGTTAATGGACACGTGTCTCAGCTTGATTCCAGTGCGTGTTGTTCATTTTGTGTATGCACTCCTGTACCTTGCTGTGTATCTTCTTTTCTCCGTGGTTTATTGGAAGCTGGGCGGAACCAACACCGAAGGAAAACCTTACATCTACAAAGTCCTGAATTACGACGACTTCAAAGCCATTACTGGAGTTGTTTTAGTGGTTCTACTGATAGTGGGTGTACCTCTATTGCATCTATTTGTGTTTGGCATCACCAAGTTTCGAGATTATCTTCATAAAAAGTATCATGAGAGAAAAAAGCCATATAGTGGCATATACAGGATGATATCGATTATAGGAGACAATTGAATGACGCTAAAAGGATAATGAAATACTAGACAACGAGTAGTCCCCCATTTTTCCTCAGGGATAGTAAAGCGAGCGAAACGCGAGCGCGCGTGAAATTCACCCCACGCGAGAAAAGGCAACACGCGGCTTTTCTCTCCCCGCCGCGTGTCGCCTTTTCTCGCGTGGGGTGATTTTCACGCGCGCTCGCGTTTCGCTTGCTCGACTATCCCTGAGGAAAAATGGGGGACTACTCGTAGTCTATTGAAATACAGGAGACGCTGAGGAGGCTTAGTCTGTGCCATTTTGTGAACTCAAAATGAAATCACGTTGGTACTAGTAATAGAATTATTGAATCTTCTTCTCAGGCAAATCTTTCAGCCAAAAATACAAAAGAAGAGAGCTTGATCGTCGGAGATCTCCGCTCAGGCTAGCTTGCTTGTCTACCTTACCTCCTGTTTCTGACCACGCCCTTTCCTCCGATGCATTGACTCATCCCTGTCTTTTTCTGCAGATCTCTTTTTTCACACCCGCTTTCCCTCCCTGCAAGTTATGGCAGATAGTTGTTTGACTGCGAAGGAATCAGCGACCAAGACAGAGAGCATGTGATATTAATCAATGAAATGAGAAATATACATACAGCTCATTTCTGAAACATTACTCAGTGATTCCAACCAACAGTGCTGCTTTTTGTTTATCTACATGAAACACTTCCATTTTTTGTCTGTTTGTTGTTGTTCTTGAAATTGTAAATATACGGAAATGCTGACATTGGATTATTAGTATAGGTAATAGCATGATTTGTAGTGATATTTGGCATAAATACCACGAGTGATATTTCGAAATTGTTATACGTAATTTCACGAGCCGTTAGGCGAGTGAAATTTGAGACAATTTTGAAATATCACGAGTAGTATTTATGCCAAATATCACGTACAAATAATATCATTATTTGTTTATACTATTACCTACGAAAGGTTTGTAATTTTCACATGTAGGTATTTCAAATTAAGCTGAAATACCACTGCTCTAAGCCAATCAAATTGCAGAAATTTCTCATGTAGTAGTATAACTTATCTAATTAAAACACAACTTAAAAACTGAATCTTGACAAAGCTCTTATTTAGTTGTATGTTCCAGATCAAGGTAGAGCCGGGCACGTGTTCCAAACCAGTGCTTGGAGTTAAGCCAAAAGCTTTCGCGCCACTTCCTCGACCAATTAAAAGTCAAACCAAGACCAATCGCCCAGCCTAGTCCCTAGGCGTTATCCCTTGCCCCATTGTCCGCGCGAAGTCTGGGAAAGAGCGGGCTCTCGGTGACGTCACAGCTATTGACCGAGCCGAGAACGCCTAGGCACTAGGCTGCGCTGTGGCTATATGGCCGTGTTAGGGTTAGGGTTAGGGTTAGGGTTAACCAGTAAAACGACAAGCAGATACCGAAACACAGTGGAATACATCGCAGGTAAGTCTTTTTCATTCATTTCATTGAAGGAAAAATTAGATTTAACGTTATTTAGCGTTCGAAGATCTCAGTATTTTATTTCTCATACAAAATCTCTTATTTTAAACGGTCGCCTGTAACGCGACACCCGCGCGTCCAGCAGAAAGGTCGCGCGTCACCTATGGTAAGTTCAACTTTACACTCTTTCCTCGTACCGTGAGTTTGGGCTACCTGTGCTTTCGACAATACTTTCTCTCTTTCTGCCCACCATTACTGTGAATAAAGTCAAATGTCAAAACGCTAGAGGGAAAAGAACTCTTGTTTAACGTGAAGTCGGGCTAGCTACAGTTCTAGGGATTATTATAAATTAATACGGTGGACGGTCAGATCATATTCAGGAGACTAATGAACGCTCCGAGTCAAACATTAATCTGCAATCCAGAAATCGAGTGAAGCGAACTGCTCTCTGTCTCCTTTCGGCCTTTCTGCGTGTCTTCGCGCCTTCCTTATTTGTGTGAATGTGTCCGCTTGATCGTGAAAAAATGCTAAAACGGTAGGAAGGGAAAAAAAAAAGACACACCCTCAATTTCCAGGATTCGAACTCGCCCTTCTCCGTCAGCTGTTAGCTTCGCGTGTCGGAAACTTAACCAAACAGCTAAGGAAACAAAATACAAGATCCCGTTTTCATCTCCTAATAGGCTGATTTAGCAGCAGAATGGGAGCGTAATTTGACGACGAGAAAGCGCGCGGTAAGGACTAAACTCGAGTAAATGATTTTCGGTGCCCAATTTGCCGCTGTGCCATTGGTCAAGCCAGTCGTTTGATTTGTGCGCGCTGTCGTCTACTGACGTTCCCGTACTGTTGCTTGTCAAGATCACGTAACCCACTGTCTGAAAAAGAAACACTTCTCGCGCGGTTGCAAATACAAATATAGGTAAAAGGAAACTGTAAAGTTAATCGTGCAAACATCTTTCGCAGAAAAAATTAATTAGGTAGAAGGGAGCGTGACCTTCTAAAACATCTTTTCTTCAATGGTCGACTTTCGTGCTGTAGTATCGGTGCTGCTATCCCAGGCTGCCATGCAGCCCGACTAATAAAGACAAAAAGAATCATTGAGGCTGTGCGGACATGGATAATAGAAATGACCTTCGTGGCATTTTTGATTGTCATCGTATGTCAAATTAAAACAGGTGCGGAAAATTGATTAATCGACAATGAGCGCTTTTCAGTTTAATTTTTTCTTTGCTTGTCATCGTTATGTCAACATTAAAACATTCGCGGCTGCGTTTGCAAATCCCTGATTGGTGCCCCCTCAAAAGGACGCATTTTCCTACCCTTTTAGTTTAATTTTTTTCTTTTAAGACTTTCCTTTTTAAGACAAAAATTGAGTTATACCCTATTAAGACAAAAATGCCTTCCCCTGTTTAAGACAAAAATCCCGAAAAACATAATGATATCATTTGCCCTTATAAGGGAAGGAATTGATCAAGAAGAACTCTAAAATACCGTCACATCTGGACATGATGTTTGCGGTGATGTAATTATTTCTTTGCTACATTACAAATCACATTTAGTCGTGCTTGCCTAAGCATCGAGACTCGTAAATTGTCTCCCGGCCATATACTCGGTGCTTCCATGGATAATAGAAAGACTGGATAGGAAACTGGCTGACGTTATTATCCATGGTGCTTCAGGACCTTTAACGCAAAACTTTGCGTTACTCCAAATTTGGCCCACAAATTTTGCCCAATTATGTGGCTAGTTTCAGTCCCCAGTCGGTTATTAGCGTAACGTAACCATTTTTTTGAAAAATGAGAAGTGTGGCAAGGATTTTGTTGCGGGGTTTGCGAAGAATGACCATGAAAGCTTGTATCGACGCATTTTGACCAAACACAAGTCAAGCAAATTATTTTAAAGGACTCTGGAGGATAACAAGCAAGATAAACGCGAAATTCCAGGTAAGGAAACAGTAAGAATCGCCGAGCCGGCCATGTCTACCACACATACTCTCCGATACTCTTCAAACGCGACGAATTTCTTCCTTCTTAGCTTTTTGCCTTCAAAGCCTTGCTTTTTTTGATGAATTCTATCTGTAAATTCACATGTGCTTGTTTTTAACCCGATATTTCGATGAAAAACTAAAAAATAAAGCGACTTTTGTAGATGAACTGTAAACCACGAGTTGTTGAATTTCATTATGCTAATTACCTTTAATCTCATTAGCATTGTGTAACAGCGTCAGAAAAATTCCTAGTTGCTCTACATTTTCGAACGATTTTCGGGCTGTTTTGTTTAGATATTATATATCACGCAAAATAGACAACTTTCCTGGCAAAATTATATTCTCTAATGGCTCAGTCAATTCCAAGCGTGCCCATCCCCCCCCCCTCCACCAGGGGCATTTGTCAAGTATTTGTCATCTTGTTTTGGAAAAGCTGCAAATGCCCCACAAAGGGGCTTAAAAATGGGGTACAAATGCCCCACCCCGGGAAAATACCAAAATTGTATTTCCAGTTTATTTTCCATTTCCAAGCTGCAAATACCATAATTATGGGAAATCTGTAATAATTTGATCAAAACACATGAGGCACCCTACGCAAATCGCCCCTAGCTGCCTGTTATAATTGTTACAAAAATCACTTCCATCTGATTAATATCAATGACAGAACTATAAACTAGAATTTTAATAATACCTTTCTTACTTTCGAAGACATTTAATATAGTGAACAAGAAAGAATGTTAATTATTATTTGCACATCGCCCAAATAAAGTAATCGAGATAGCTTGTTTTGATTCAAAGTTGCAATAGGCACGCAATACATGTGAATGTAAACAAGCCAAGCGATGCGAATGTCTCATACCGGAAAGAAAACTCTGCTAACAGGGTACATACTTGATCCCACTTTTACGATCTCAAAAACCTTGCAACAAAGAAATGCAATTCCGAGCAGTGTGTGGACTAAGGAATTAAAAGCGATGAACTTGTTGAGGCAACGCAGGGATAATTTTCAAAGTGGAGGAAAAGATGAACTTAATCTGAAGCTTACCCTTTTTATTACGGCCGGTTTTTTCAGAAATTTAGAAGTATTAAATCCAGGGATTAAATCTGTCAAAAATAATTGGAATTTAAAACAGGTTTGGATCACACCTAAGAGTTGAAGCCATTTTTGTGCTTTCCGTCAGGTGTTTATAAAAATGCGTTCATGAAGAATGACATTTCAAATATCATATTGCAGGAAATAACTCTGTTTTTTGATGATGATGTCATTGTTTAGCCAGGTCAATTTTTTGGGTATTTGTATCCGTTTGCAATTGCTTCATGTGTTGTTTGAGTTGTAGAAGTAATGAATATTTTTGAATCATGGGTAGTATTAAACGTTGAATTAAATCACACGGTGGAATTGATGGGTTTGGCTCATAGCCAAGAGTTTGACAATATTTTTGCCCTCAGTTATTAAGAGTCAAAGAAGATGTCATGCAATGACGAAAAATTCCGAGATCGTGCGTGAGATGAATATGGGATTGTTTCAATGGGGGAAATGAGGATGGGATGAGTGGTCACGTATAAAGTATTTTGGCAGTTTGCTAATGTTTTTTGGAGCTAGTAGACATTAGCCTGTTACTTGTAACATTGAATGATGCATAATTTCATTGCATATGTTCAGAAAGGAGGTGATTTTTAAAATCTTACTGAGAAAACAATAACCTTTTATTGTTCTTCACGAATCTTCTTCACATTCAAACTGCTTGCATGACAGTTATTATTTAAAACCCTTGTAGGTTAATTAGATCAAGTCAGATGATGCCTTGATACATGTACCAAGCAGAATGCATGATGCAAATGTTAAACCATTCACTGTATGATAAACACTCAGTTAAAAACATGTAGACTATTATTTATGTATACGTTGTAGGTAATATTTTATCTCAGGTATTTTTTTTTTTTGATGGGGGTGGAATTTGAATGTATTGCTAATGAAGTTAACCCATTCGCCCCTGAACCGCCCGTAACCGCCCGTGCGGATCCAGGTCCTTTCTACCCTTTGTGACGTCATCAGTTGTAACGGTCAAGGACAACTTTCTTCGCACACGTGTGCAGAGTGAAGAGATCTTTCAAACCATACCAGAATGAGCACAATTCAGTCAAGGGCACCGGAGAAAGAAGCAAAAAACCACGTGACAAGGACCTGAAAATCTCCATGAAAATCTTGTTCCATTACCCACCTACCTTTCCTTTCACCTAATCCTAAGATCCTAAAAGCTTTCCTAAAAACTCTTCCCACCAAAATGAAGCCTACTAAATGCCCAGCAAGAGAAAAAAAAAATGAGGCAAGAAAAGCGAAAAAAGAAGGGAGGAGAAATTTTGCTTTCTGCGCATGCCCCAACTTCGCAAGCTGATATTTTGCATCTGGATCAGAAGGCCGCCAAGTGTACGACCTGTAAACCGGTTTGTGGTAAGTTTTAGCTCTTTATAGCACGACAGTGACCAGAAAACCACTCGACTAGCTTCAAAACGCGTTTTTCGGCAAAATCTCCAGGAGCGAATGGGTTAAAACAAAAGAAAAATACAAGTTACCTGAGATAAAAAAATAACTGCAACATATCTATCCATAAGAACCTTGCAAGCCATCAACCAAGGCACCACACTGGCCGCAGAGATGCCAACCTCTGGAAATCTAAAATCTGAAGACTCCCTCTTTTGCATCACTCCCCCTCACCCCCTTAATCCCCTGATAAAGTTAGGACATTATATGAATTCTTACATGAAGTACAGACCACCATAATTCGCTTTAATGATCGTGAAGGCAAAATACTCTTTGTCAGTGATGAAATACGTGCAAAGAGGCCCCAGAAACCAAACTATGAATCAAAGAAAATTGGAATTTTGAGAAAAAGTGGGAAAAACCCAAAACGAAATCACAGTAAAGCTCATAACTCTATTTTATCCGGGAGAGTTGGCATGTACGCACTGAAGCAGTCAGTAAAATACTGAACACATCTATTATTGTGTAGTTCCAGAAAATATCCATACCCCCCACGGAGGGAACTTTTAAGTTAGACCACTCCTCCCCTGGAATTTCCATTTTACACTGTAAGCGATCCATTTCATAGCCCCCCGCGCCCTGGAATGTGGTTGAGTACCCTCTGGAAAGTATATTTGTGTCAAAAATATTGTATTTGTTGCACTATATTATTATGGAAAAGATAATTTTTTTCTGCGAGAAAATAAGAAACAAAATTTCATTCATGTCAATAAGATGTCTTATAATCTCAAGGACGTCCTTAGCTAATTGCGTTCGACGAAGAAGAAACCAACCTATTCTTCAAGGTGCGGTTACCAATTTCATAGGCACTTCCTGCCAGATTCTTCACATTCCTTTGGTGACGTCATCATATTGTCCTCTCTAAAACGGGCACCTCTCTAATACGGACACTTCGCTCTGTTCCTTTCGGTGTCCGTATTAAAGAGATTCGACTGTATTGTATTAAAGAAAACTATTGAAAGAAGCATTTAGCCGACTCTAGAAAAAAGATGATCAATGCAAACAATAATGCTTGCTTTCAAACACCGGTGACTGCAGTAACTTTCTCAACAGAGAAGCTGCTATTTATTAATAACTCACCAAAATTACTCAGACCCCCTAGAAAAATACCTCTGTATAAAGCAACCCCCGAGTCCCTCAGTAATTGACTCCTTTTTGACATCCCTGCCTCCCCTCGGAATTTCCGTTGCCCTCCGTGGGGGTTATGGATATTTTCTGCAACTACACATTACACTTACCAAAGGGAGGCCGTAGAGTGAAAAAAGAGTTTTAAAATTCTGCAAGCAAAGGAACCTTGTTATGAAAATGACAAACAGAGTTCTCATTGGCTACTGATTCAGTTAACAGTACTACTGATTTTTGTAACCATTATTTCTCCAGGACAACGTTCATGTTATACTGTCTTTTTTTGTAGGAACAAAATGCTGCGAAAGGGAGATGATACATGTCCAGTTGAAAGTTGTATCGGATTTCAACCTAGACGTCCATATGAGAAAGCTTGACAGGGATGGAAGGAACTAATAACTTTCCAAATTCTGGTAGGTTCAACCCATAAGCCCCAATAAGCGTTACGCCAAGTAAATGGAATTTGGGGACCACACGAGGCAAAGAGAAAATGTTTTGACCTCGGCATGATTCGCACCCACGGACGATCTCCAAGTTGGATCTGCTGTTGCTCTACTGATTATGCCGTGAACCCTGCGTGGAGCAAGTCGTGGGTAATTTGTGTGGCAGATCGCGTAGAGTTAAGAATGTGTAATTAAGTAAACGCACATACCTAGTACTGATCTCAGTATTGTCTGCTATGTACATTGTTGGTACTGTGTAGCAAATGATGCAACAGACAATTATCTCTGGCCGGAGTGAAAAATCATCGACTGCTACAAAAAATCCTTTAAACCCCGATTAGCGTCTATTTTAATAAAAAAAACACCACTACGTGTGCAATGTGTATTTCAACTTTTCGTTATCATTTCAGAGTTCTTGTCCCTGCCAAACTGCGGGAATTGATATCAAAGCTTCTGTTCCTGGGAGTTCTTAGCAGCAATTTCACTCTCGGCATCAACAGGTGAGTGCTTTGAGTTTGCAAGTCTTCAGCTTCCTAGATTTCTGGCCTTTTTACCTTTAATCTCTTTCTGTTATAGAGAAGATCAAGGTTACCCCAGTCTAAAATTATCAACGCGGACAATGTGAATCCTGGTTTGCTTAGGAAATAATTTTTTTTGTGGAAATTCGACTGAGTGTACAGGCGTGAAACGTATCTTGCGTAAACCGCTGACACTCAAACCGAATTTACACAATAAAACAGGGAACAGAGGAACGTAGGGATACCACGCTAATTCAAATTGGAACCTTATGCTAACTTCTTAGTTTCTTCCTATCTCTACAGGTGATGGTAGCACGCTTTGGGATTGCCATGCAAACTCTATTGACCATGATTCTATTTTTTCCGCTTTCTTTTTTAAAGAGAAGGAGGTCCACATTACCCCAATCTAAAATTATCAACGCAGACAATGGGAATCCTGGTTTCTTTGGGAATTGATTTTTTTGTGGAAATTCGACGGGGTGTATAGGCGTTGAGACGTATTTTGCGTAAACCGCTGACACTCAAACCGAATTTGCACAATAAATCAGGGAACAAGAAACGTAGGGATACCAATCTTTTATTTTTACGTGGACAATGGGAATCCTGGTTTGTTTGGGAACTGATTTTTTGTGGAAATTCGACGGGGTGTATAGGCGTTGAGACGTATTTTGCGTAAACCGCTGACACTCAAACCGAATTTACACAATTAATCGGGGAACAGAGAAACGTAGGGATACCACGCTAATTCGGGTACTTTTCAAATTGGAACCTTATGCTAACTTCTTAGTTTCTTCCTATCTCTACAGGTGATGGTAGAACGCTTTGGGATTGCCAAGCAAACTCTATTGACCATGATTCTATGTTTTCCGCTTTCTTTTTTAAAGAGAAGGAGGTCCACTTTCTTTTTCAAAATCCTGGTTTTTTGGGAACTGATTTTTTTGTGGAAATTCGACGGGGTATATAGGCGTTGAGGTCGTTGACCGATTTTGCGTAAACCGCTGACACTTTTACACAATAAATCCAGATCTAAAATTATCAACACGGACAATGGGAATCCTGGTTTGTTTGGGATCTGATTTTTTGTGGAAATTTGACGGGGTGTATAGGCGTCGAGACGTATTTTGCGTAAACCGCTGACACTCAAACCGAATTTACACAATTAATCCGAACAGAGAAACGTTACCACGCTAATTCGGGTACTTTTCAAATTGGAACCTTATGCTAACTTCTTAGTTTCTTCCTATCTCTACAGGTGATGGTAAACGCTTTGGGATTGCCAAGCAAACTCTATTGACCATGATTCTATGTTTTCCAAACCACTTTACTCCGATCTAAAATTATCAACATAATGGGAATCGGACAATTTTTTTTGGGAAATTCGACGGGGTGGTTTGAGACGTTTTTGCGTAAACCGCTGACACTCCAACCGAATTTTTTTAAATCAGGGAACAGAGAAACGTAGGGATACCAAACTTTATCAACACGGACAATGGGGTTTGTATAACTGGCGTTTTTGAGAAATTTTTTGCGTAAACCGTTTTTGAAACCGCTGACACTCAAATCGAATTTGCACAATAAATCAGGGAACAGAGAAACGTAGGGATACTAATCCAAAATTATTAACGTGGACAACGGGAATCCTGGTTTGTTTGGGAACTGATTTTTTTGTGGAAATTCGACGGGGTGTATAGGTGTTGAACGTATTTTGCGTAAACCGCTGACACTCAAACCGAATTTACACAACAAATCAGGGAACAGAGAAACGTAGGGATACCACTCCAATTTTGGTACTTTTCAAATTGGAAACTCATACTGGAGATATAATAACCGTAAGATACCCCTCTCATTGAGATTCTTTTGAAAGCAAAAGCGTATTCTAACTTTCTAGTTTCTTTTTATTTCTACAGGTGATGGCTGAGCACATTTTATTCTCAGATTTCTAACCTTTTTCCTTCATTGTCTCTAGTGTTGTTGTCTTAGATCGGCCACAACACTGGGCTTTGTAGGCTTTGACTTTTATTCAGTCTTTCCAGGTGAAAGCGAAGATGTGCATAATTGGAGCTAAAATTATTTGGTGGAGATTTGGAATCCTGAATCCTGACTGACCACAGACGTGTGCGTTTGGTTGAACTGTTGTATCTTCGAGTTTTATAGTTTGGCTGGTATGAGTACATTACGTAATGAATTCCTTTTTTAGAAAGGTCTTTTATAATATATACTATCACAATTTCCCTTAGCAACGGCTGGCTTTTTATAAGAGGCCATATCTCATTAAGATGTTTTTTGGACTTCAAGCAAAGTAAAGCCATCGTTCTTTTGTGATCGTTGACTTTCAACAGATTCTTATCCATCATTTTATCTGAATAACTAGGCTCGAAATATTCTTGTATTACTCTTAAATTGAAGCTTACGTCATTTCTAGTTCATGATGTATTTGGGGATCAATGTACCTTTTATCGAACTGTTATTAGCACTGAACATTTAACTTTGTTAACGGTGCAGTTTTTTTAAGTTTGCTTGCTAGTTTTTTTTGTTTAGAGAAAGGGTCAATTATATCAGATAAGTTTAAAACAATTGTATTTTATTAACAGATTTTCACCACAAACTAATAAGTCCTGTTGAAAATCTCAGTCTCAGATTTCAGTAGCGATATTTTATAAAATATATTCTGATAAAAGAGAAAGAGTGTAGTCGTAGCGCCTCAACCTTAATAAATTATTGTTAACTTTTAAAGAAATTGTAAAGAAATGTTTGATTTGGAAAATCTCCTTCGGTTTAGTATTTTTTCCGTGTGTACGCACATCAAGGATTGTTTGTAATTTTATTATTTCTCTTTTGTTTATACAAGTATTCAGAATAATGATTTCTGTCCCTGTTTTCTAACAGGTACGAGTGTTGCCATTTTGAATTTATTGTTTGCCCTGCTCATGACGTCTACCCATGTTATAATGCGGTACTACTAGACATGGATGAACTGGTAAGTTTTTGCTACCTTCAACTTGCTTTTTCTGGAAGAAAAATCAACTTATTTGACTTAATTTTAATGTGTAATTTTAGGCCGTTTGTACATTCTTGTTCGCTGGGCTGTAGTCGTGTTTACGTTTTATTAATAAGACCTGAGTTTTTGTTGTAAACTTGTTTTTAGCGAAAGTTTTTAATGAGTAAACGGCTTGGTGGATATTTGATATACGTCAGCAAACCTTTTAATTACACAGTAAGCCAAGCTTAGGGTTATAAAATTAAGTTAAATTAATCTGTTTTCAATTTAAGCAGAGATGATTAATCAAACTGATTATTATTTTTTTCTCTCAATTTATTTTCAAGTACTTTATACAGTGGAAACAGGGCGAGAGCTCCAAACCAACAGAACCCAGCAAAAGTGCCTCAAGGATCAGGTACTGCTGCAACTATGAGAAAGTTGTTTACAATGAATGTCAAGTTACTTTGCTTATCTTACAAATTTACTCTTCTATGAGTGTACCATAACAGCTACTGCAAAAGGCTGCTACCCTGAAAGTGGTGAAATGTATCAAATAACTTTAGAAAAACTGTCATTAATTCTTACCTCTTCTTTTTTTTTTTTAACTTAGCTCGCTGTATGATTCAGATGATTATATTATTGACAATACAGCTAATCAAATGAATTGTGTTGGTTAGCGTTCAATTGCTACCTTAGATATGAGACTATCAGCCTACCGAGTTATAAGAGTCAACGTCAGTAAGAATAGGAGATAATCCCAAAATCGCGGACGCAGCTCAAAATTCGTTTTCGCTGATACTTTTTATATTGATCATGATAGAGTTTTGTATCGTAGTTAACAAAGGAGGGTTAATTTGGTCCAATTTTTGATTTGCAAGGGGTGAACTCTTTCTTTTTTCTAAGAATTTTGTTTCTCTGGCCCAGGGTGAATATTCTTATTTTTCTCCCAGTTTTAGGATCAAAATATCTTGTTTTTCCTCTTAAGTTGAAGCTTGTGTCATTTCCGGTTTAGATATGAGAGTAAGGGGCAGTCTACAGAGTCAGGTTGTAAGAGCAAATTTTTAATTTATAATTCTTCGTTGTTTTATGAGGATCTGCCAAAGCAAAAGAACAAGAGTAAGAAAGTGGAAGAGGAAGATTAGTAACACTGGACAAGGACATCAGGGATAAAACATCGGCAACACTGAAGCGAAGTAAGTTTACGAGTCTTTCGCGAAGAAAATCGAGCGAGAAAAGCTTAGTCAATAAAATGTACGTCAAAAGGAGAGGTCCTTTTACCCGCCACTGTTGAAGGAGAAAGACCATGGAGAAGAGAGGTCATTTGCGAGGAGTGCTTCATAAATTGAAAAGAAAGGGGTTAACAACAAAGTATCAATTTAGTGGCCCCGCGGAAAAAAAACAGACAGCCCACGCTGGGACTCATTTGATACCTTGGGTCCAAAATAGCCCCAAATAATCGTACTGTAGTGTGGTTGAGAATTCTGATTCACGTTAAGATAACGTTTACCACAAAGCCGATGCCAACTAGCAATAGCTGCGGTTAACATTGGATACTTATATCCAAAACAGAAAGATTTTCCAGTAATCGAGGTCTTAGTTATGCATGCGCACAGTATTATGGGATCGTCAGGGGGGGAATATTGCAAGTCGCTGCAAAGAAGTGTATGGCGTGGAGTTGTTTCTCCGTTAAAAAAAGCAGTGTCTTTGGACATAGAATGTCGCCTTTTGCTGTGATTTTATCAGCAGGGGAGGAGACTAATGTTGGTCCGTTGAAATTGTAAGTTTTTGTGGGATCGATGCGATGAACTCTATCGATAAAGACTGTCTCTTGCGAAAGCTCGACTGTGAAATTTACTACTGTATGGTCTCGAAATTAGCCTGCGAGCAAGCTCTCCTGTTTGGGCGAGCGAAGCTAGCCTCGCGAGAACGCGCGAGCGAGGGGTCAAGGAAAGGCTACTTCGCCGCTCGCTCGCGCGTTCTCGCGAGACTCGCTTCGCTCGCCCAAATAGGAGAGCTTGCTCGCAGACTACCTCGAAATATATAGTACTAACTTTGGTAGAAATGAGCAGGGAATGGGGACTCATTTAAGCCTTTCTAGTTTTAGTTACATGTGCTGATATTTACAACGAGTGTAATTACGCTCGGCTCGGCGGCGATCACAACGGTATTGAATTTTATATGTATTCCTGTCCTGTCACAATCTCAACGCACAGCGCTGATCGTGACCAAGCCTAGTTACACTCGTTGTAAATATCGCCACACGTAATTACAACTAAAAAGCTTAAATGCATGAGCCCCTACATTTACACCTAAATTTGCACTATATATTTCGAGACCTTTTCTTCATGTAGATCACTGTGTAAATTCAGTAACAATAAATTTCACACTCAGCCTCACGCAAGGAGTGTTTATCGATAGAATCTATCGCATTACTCATACAGAAACTTGAAATTTCAACGCACCAACATTAGTCACCAACACTTTTCATAAAATCACGGCAAAATGCGGTATTCTATGCCCAAACACACTTCTTTTTAACGGAGAAACCACGATATGGCGATCCCATAATCCTGTGCGCAAAGCATGCGTCTCCGATTACTGAAAAATCATTCATTTACATCTGTTAAATAAATGGAGAATTTTAGATTTCTTTCTCATAATTAACAGCTTAACAGAGGAAGAGAACCTAGAGCCCCAATAAAGTGTCGTACCTTACAGAAAAGCGAAAATCTGAATTGTTGGCCTGTGAAAAAAATAATGGATTGTAAGAACAGAGCACTGAATGTGGAACAGATTGAAATGCTGCTAGCATTTATCTCCTCTTTAAAAACCATATCAGCAGATGTACGATCAAGACTAAGTCACTTTTACAGAAAACATTTCGCGAAGTAGAGGATCATAAAAGGTGAAGCGCTTATCGTGGCTTGTTTCACTAGCCTTCGAAACAACCCTTCGTTTCAGGTGGTCGTTTCTCGTTTGCCATGTAAAAGTCCCGTAGGAAGGACTTTGGACCTTGAGCCTTGCTTCCTACCCAGATTTCCTGCCTCCTTTTTTTCCCCCGGGGGTTTATGGGCAGGTTTTTTCTGGCCTCCGTCTGACCGCTTATATAAGTTGTAAGCGGTAGCTCAGCTCTGCCAGATTTTCCAGAATCTAGCTTCATTTTTCAGCTAACCCAAGATTAGCTTTAGAATTGCAATGTTGTACACCTCGAGTCAGGGTTATGCCCTTTAATACTTGACTTTTAAATAGTTTGTCGCAGATCACTAGTTGCTGTATGTACTTCGCAGAGATGGTTTTGTCTAAGCCCTCCTTTGCTTACACACTAAGTCTATTGCTGAGTGGTATAGTCAAAATTTGAAATAACCATTATTTGACAGTTAGAATTTTGTACATTACTTTCGAAAATTGAAATAAATGTGTTTTCCTTCTTGGGTGTTCATGTTTTGGTTCAACTTTATCCTTGGTTTAAATTCTATTTTCCTTTGTTGTTGGGTGTCAGTGGTCATGTATGATAATGAGTAAAACCAAGGATAAATTTGAGCCACAACATACATTTGTTGTGTACTACACATACACACGTTCTCGAGCGAGAGCAATCTTCAGTGACATTCCAATCGTTCTCAGGTCAGGTTTACGTTCAATAGATCTTACCAACAGTCAACTATGAATATGAGACCGGTAATCTTACGAAACAACAAACCTTTAAACTCCGAACTTTGCACAGAGTGCGTGAGAGAATCATGCTAAACATCAGGTAGCGAGATCATAAAACAGCCCAATAGATCCGAGCAAAAAACACAAAGTACGAGATATCATGGAAATGATAATCAAACTCAAATGTTATTGGGCTGGTTATTTGGCAAAAATAACAGACAACCGTTGGACAACCAGCATTACGTTCGGGACGCCTCTGGGGACACACATGAAACCGAGGAATTAAGACCAATGATGAGATGGAGGGACGACCTAGAAAATTTCTTTTAACACTGGCAATGTGTCGCGCAAAACGTGGTCCGCAGTAAGGAAGGCTTAAAATAAGACGACGAATTTTTCAAAGTATAACCCACGATTTCGATCCAAAAATTCAAATTTTTCTTTATTTTAAAAGAACCAAAGGTCGAAACTGGTCATTTTTTTAAACAAAAACCATCGACTAACCCCTTTGGAAAATGTCGATTTTTTTCCTTTTTTAGTCAATCAGATTTCTTGTCTAGAAAACGTTCTTTTCTGTCCAAAATTATCACGAAACAATCTTTTCTGGCACAAAAAAAATTGGCCAATTTTCGCCCCAAACCATTGACTGACCAAAATAAAAAAACATCTTGATTTTATAGCCTAAAAATGATCATTCGTTAAAGAATATCATAAAACACATTTCCCTGGCCTATCTTGCCTAAAAAAAACAGGAAAAATGGCCATTTTGGTACCAAAACCATGGGTTAACCCCTTTGGAAAAATGTCAATTTTCCGACTTTTTAAACTTCTTGTTTTTATAGCATAGAAAGGCGTTTTCTCGTTCTAGAATATCGTAAAAGACATTTTCCTGGCGTATATTGCCTAAAAAAAAAAAACTTGGAAAAATGGCCAGTTGGAAAGATGTCAATTTTTCGACTTTTTAAACTTCTTGTTTTTATAGCCTAGAAAGGCGGTTTTTCGTTCTAGAATATCGTAAAACACATTTTCCTGGCCTATTTTGCCTAAAAAAAAAACTTGAAAAAATAACCCTTTTTGGACCAAAACCATGGGTTAACCCCTTTGGAAAAATGTCAATTTTTCTACTTTTTGAACTTGTTGTTTTTATAGAGAAGAAAGGCGTTTTTTCGTTCTAGAAAATCTTAAAAGACATTTTCCTGGCCTATATTGCCTAAAAGAAAAAGTTGGAAAAATGGCCATTTTTGCACCAAAACCATGGGTTAACCCCTTTGGAAAAATGTCAATTTTTCCACTTTTTGAACTTCTTGTTTTTGTAGCCTACAAAGGCGTTTTTTCGTTCTAGAATATCGTAAAACACATTTTCCTGGCCTATATTGCCTAAAAGAAAAATCAATATTTCAACTTTTTGAACTTCTTCTTTTTATAGCCTAGAAAGGGGTTTTCTCGTTCTAGAATATCGTAAAACACATTTTCCTGGCCTATTTTGCCTAAAAGAAAAAGTTGGAAAAATGGCCATTTTTGCACCAAAACCATGGCTTAACCCCTTTGGAAAAATGTCAATATTTCGACCTTTTGAACTTGTTTTTTTTATAGCCTAGAAAGGCGTTTTTCCGTTCTAGAATATCGTAAAACACATTTTCCTGGCCTATATTGCCTAAAAAAAAAAGTTGGAAAAATGGCCATTTTTGAACCAAAACCATGGGTTAACCCCTTTGGAAAAATGTCAATTTTTCGACTTTTTGAACTTGTTGTTTTTATAGCCTAGAAAGGCGTTTTTTCGTTCTAGAATATCGTAAAACACATTTTCCTGGCCTATATTGCCTAAAAAAAAAACTTGGAAAAATGGCCATTTTTGGACCAAAACCATGGGTTAACCCCTTTGGAAAAATCTCAATTTTTCGACTTTTTGAACTTGTTGTTTTTATAGCGTAGAAAGGCGTTTTTTCGTTCTAGAATATCGTAAAACACATTTTCCTGGCCTATATTGCCAAAAAAAAAAGTTCGAAAAATTGCCATATTTTGAACTTGTTGTTTTTATAGCCTAGAAAGGCGTTTTTTCGTTCTAGGATATCGTAATACACATTTTCCTGGCCTATATTGCCTAAAAGAAAAACTTGGAAAAATGGCCATTTTTGCTCCAAAACCATGGGTTAACCCCTTTGGAAAAATGTCAATTTCTCTACTTTTTGAACTTGTTGTTTTTATAGCCTAGAAAGACTTTTTTTCGTTCTAGAATATCGTCAAACACATTTTCCTGGCCTATATTGCCTTAAAGAAAAAGTTGGAAAAATGGCCATTTTTGCACCAAAACCATGGGTTAACCCCTTTGGAAAAATGGCAATTTTTTGACTTTTTGAACTTGTTGTTTTTATAGCCTAGAAAGGCGTTTCTTCGTTCTAGAATGTCGTAAAAGACATTTTCCTGGCCTATATTACCTAAAAGAAAAAGTTGGAAAAATGGCCATTTTTGCACCAAAACCATGGGTTAA